GGGAGTGGTTGATGTCCTGCACCTTCAGCGACACGTCTTCAGTGCCTTTTAATGATGTTTTAGAAGGCATCTGATAACGAGGAGACAGAAGAAAGCAAGACTTGGAGGTTTCTAAATCAATCCATTCAGCTTTTTTCTTTTTTTTTTTTTTAGGTTTTATGCTTTTTAGTCCAGCCTAGGTAAGACAGTCCTCACAGCCAATTAAGTTGTGAGTTGGAATTAATTAAATTTTCTGCAACGATGGGCTTTTTTTTTTTTCTTCCCCCCTTTTTTCATCCAAATGACTGTCATTTACCCAAAGACACTTCATTTTCCTGGAATTGTCAGAGGGGAATGCTTAATTGCAGCCACAAATCACCTCCAATGCTTTTCTAGGAGGAGAAAACAACTTTAAAATGGTGTCTCCTTTTGGAAAATGCAGGTTCTGAATTCAGGATAAGATGCAGATTTCCATATTTATTTTTTTTCCCCTCTGGCTGCTCTTTTCAAGAATTCCTCCCTCATGTGACATCTCAGTGTCCTTCGGAGCAGTGCCATTCCCAGAGGCTTTTTGAAGATTCCAGGCGATTCCCAGGGATATCTGCAGTGACCATGATCCAAAATCTTCCTCTGCAAGGGATATTTGTGCATTTTTCGGGTGTGACAGATTTAGTGGTTCTGAAAACAGGCTGGGAGTACTGGGAATGTTCCCCTGGAGAAGAGAAGGCTCCAGGGAGACCTGAGAGCCCCTTGCAGGGCCTAAAGGGGCTCCAGGAGAGCTGGAGAGGGACTGGGGACAAGGGATGGAGGGACAGGACACAGGGAATGGCTTCCCAGTGCCAGAGGGCAGGGTTAGGTGGGATATTGGGAAGGAATTCTTGGCTGGGAGGGTGGAGAGGCCCTGGAATGGATTTGCCAGAGAAGCTGTGGCTGCCCCTGGATCCCTGGAAGTGTCCAAGGCCAGGTTGGAGCAACCTGGGATAGTGGGAGGTGTCCCTGCCCATGGTCCTGGTCTTGGACACTTCCAGGGATGGAGGTTGGAACTCCACAGTGGGTGAGGATTGGAGCTCCACAGTGGATGGAGGTTGGAGCTCCACAGTGGATGGAGGTTGGAGCTTGTAGTGGGTTGGTTTCTTGGATTTTTAGGCCTTCCTTAACAACGGGGTCAGGAATCTAAGGAAGTGATGTCTGAAAACCCTCTCACTCTGTGACAAATTGTGGGAGGGGGACTTGAACTTGAAAATTAGATTTCTGGGAGTCTCAAACCACCACAAGCTCCACAGTGGATGGAGGTTGGAGCTCCACAGTGGATGGACCTTGGAGCTCCAGAGTGGCTCCCTCAGGTGCTCCCTTGGCAGAGCAGCTGTGGGACTCATCCTGGCCGGTGAAAACATGGAGAAGTCATCTTTGAACCATCATAGAAAATGGGTTCCCAGTTGTCCTTGGAGGCTGCACCAAGGGATGATGTCCTTGTACCATTGGAATATCGAATTCCTGACCTCCTAGGGCTGTTCCCTGCTGTCAAACACCCTCTGACATCCATCCTTCACTTCCCTTTCCCTTTTCTCTCCTTCCCTTTCCTTTGACAGAGATCTTTGGATTAAGTAAAAGGCTTCAGAAATTGGTTTTTTTCATTCCCATCATCCTTTCATCAAACTGTCCTTGACCATTCCATCCTGAGGTCCCTCATCCACATCCTCCAGCTCTCCAGCTCCTGTCTTAATGCCTTTGTCCTGGTATGGAGTTCAAATCTGCTTTCTGAGCTTGTGACCATTTGTTCTTTATCACAAGTCGTGCTGGGCACTCCCAAAATCCCCTCCCACAGTCTGGCACCTTCTCCTAGTCTGTGATTGCTTTATGGTTCAGGGAAAACAGGGATATGGGGTTGATTCTTCGCAGGATTAAGTGAACCACTGTTTTGTATTGTCTGTGCCAAGGCATTAAGACTTTTTGGAACACATCGACCACCAGAACTCTAAGGGAGAAGTTTCCTGGAGGTTGAGGCACAGGTTTTAAGGAGGGATCTGAAATGGGGATTAATGCCAGGTACAAACAAAAAGTCTCTATTACACCTTTTTTTAGCACTGACCTTTCCTATATCTTTGCACAGGCAATTTCTTCTGAGGTCCAGGAAACACTTGGAAGCACCCTCAGGGTGTTGTGGGATGAGGAGTTGCTGCAGTTCAGCACTTCTGAGCTCTCAGAGTTGATACCTGCTCATTCTCCCTCTAAAAGTTTTTTATTTGTTCATGTTTTAGCCATTTTTAAGCATGTATTGAATTTTAAAAAGCATTTAAAAGCTGTTCCTTCACTTCACTGAATGATTCTCCTTTCCAAATCCAACCCCTGTGCCTCTCCTTCCCCAGCTGAAACGGTAAAATTCACATTTTTGGGGGGGGTTTCCATGTCACAAACACTGTGTAAATAAACTCAGGAAGAAAGAGTGGCAAATTCATTGGCAGTCGTGGTGAATTAATTTAATGTGGTCCCATCAACCTTGACACTGTTCCCTGAAGGACATGAGTGGTTGTCACTCCATGTGGTGCCATCAGGTCTGTGATTCCAGGGATCAGTTGGTGGGGGGCTCTACTCTCTTCCCAGGTGACTCCACTGCTTCCCTGTTTTATATTGAGGGACATATTTATATTTATACTTAATTTATATATAGTAATTCCCATTCTTGATCTGTGAAATCCAGGGAATAAAGCTGCTAGAACTTTGTGTTCCCCTCTCTTTGGAGAAACCATCTTCCAGCCCGAGCTGCAGGTGGATCCTCCATGGAATCAAGTGTCATTCCAGACTGTTGGAGTCACCAGGGCAGAGGATTTAGGGAGCAAATGGCTCAGATTTGAAGGAAATTATGCCATGAAAACTGGCAGGAGCTCCTCAGTCAGGGCTCTGAGGGGAAGCTGCCTCCTCTGGAGCATGGAAAGAGGAGGGAGAAAATCATGGACAATTAAGGAAATCTTGAAATCTTTGGGGAAATGGTCCCCAAGTGCCACATCCATGTGATTTTTAGCACCTTCAGGAATTGTGGCTCCACCACTTCACCTTCCACCGAAGGAATTTTTCCTGCTATCCAACCTAAACCTCCCCTGGCACAAATTTGGACAGTGAGTCTCGATCCGTTCTGGCTCCTGACGCTCAATCCCTAATTATTTCGATGCGTAAAACTTAAAAAGGAAGATTATTTCTTTGCCTCAGATGTAGTTGAAGAAAGGAAGAGATAATTTCTAGAAGTGTTAAAGCAGATGGCACCGCAGAAATCGAGAGATTTTGCGGGAGATGGCAAACATTTGGTGTTAAAATATTCCCGGGATCGTCTGTGTGAGCAGGAATGGGATCCTTGGATGAAACAATGAAGGATGATAAAAATACACCATAATACAGACATGCATAATGCAGCTTGAGAACAGGATAATCCATATGCATTGCTTTTTTTTTCCATGTGATTTCCAGCTGGAATGTTCCATTGTTCAGTTTAGAGATGAGGGAATCGAGTGGCCAATCCCAGAAGGAAATTTGCCTTTTCCAAGGGATTCCTGGCATCCAGAATTGTTTCTGTGGGGGTTTTAATTTTAGAAAAACATCATTCCAGTATGTGTCAAACAGAGCAGTCCATGTTTTTTTCAAGAAATAATCACAAATGGTGCCTGGGATATGGATTTCCCTTCATTTTATCTGTTCTTCTCCAGCGTTTGAGTCAATGTTTTTTGAACAAATCATCACAAATCGTGCTCGGGATGTGGATTTTCCCTCATTTTATCTGTTCTCCTCCAGCAGCTGAGTCTTTGTCTCACCTTGTGGACTTTTTTTCCTCATGCTGGCACAGCCCACAGTCATTCCCTCCCAGCTGGTGCTCGGATTTGAGGTGCAGGGGTGGCAGAGGCCCCGCTGACACGTTTGAAGTCCCTCCGTGGTTTAGTCACCGTTCACCGTTCCCCTTCTCTTTTCCAGGTTTATCCAGGAGATCGAGTTTGCCATGGAGCTTGGCCCAGCCAAGCAGTGCCCTCTCAGGGAGTTCCTCACCATGTACATCAAGAACATCTTCCTCAACCAGGTCCTGGCTGAGATCAACAAGGAGATCGAAGGCGTCACCAAGGCGTCGGACCCGCTCAAGATCTTGGCCAACGCGGACACCATGAAGGTCCTGGGCGTGCAGAGGCCTCTGCTGCAGGTAAGGGCTGAGGGACCTGTCAGCACATCCCTAACTGGCCATGTCTAGCCAGGACCTGGCTCTGTATCCAGTGAGGAGGGACGTGGAGCTGCTGGAGAGAGTCCAGAGGAGGCCCCAGAGCTGCTCCGGAGGCTGGAGCTCCTCTGCTCTGGAGCCAGGCTGGGAGAGCTGGGAATGTTCCCCTGGAGAAGAGAAGGCTCCAGGGAGAGCTGAGAGCCCCTTGCAGGGCCTAAAGGGGCTCCAGGAGAGCTGGAGAGGGACTGGGGACAAGGCCTGGAGGGACAGGACACAGGGAATGGCTTCCCAGTGCCAGAGGGCAGGGATGGATGGGATATTGGGAAGGAATTGCTGGCTAGGAGGGTAGGGAAGCCCTAGAATGGATTTCCCAGGGAAGCTGTGGCTGCTCCTGGATCCCTGGGAGTGTCCAAGGCCAGGTTGGACGGGGCTTGGAGCAACCTGGGATAGTGGAAGGTGTCCCTGCCCATGGCAGGGGTGGAACTGGAGGTTTTTAAGGTCCCTTCCCACCCAAGCAATCCTGGGATTCCATGATTCTGGAGCCAGGCTGGGAGAGCTGGGGGGGTTCCCCTGGAGAAGAGAAGGCTCCAGGGAAACCTGAGAACCCCTTGCAGGGCCTAAAGGGACTCCAGGAGAGCTGGAGAGGGACTTGGGACAAGGGCCTGAAGTGCCAGGTCAATGGGAAATCCCTTCCCACTGCCTGAGATAGGTGAGATATTGGGGAGAAAGATTTCCATGTTCCTCCCTTAGAAGTTCTGGGGACTCCTGCCAGTCACAGAGCTGTGTAATGGGACTAAACACACATTCCCAGCTCCCAGGAAGAGCAGAGGTGGGATCTGCTGCCTCCTGAGTGTGGGGTGTTGGTGGCTGATGTGACACCAGGGCAGCTTCGGGGCTCCCTCCGATACAAGGAACGGGAGAGATTTGGCTCTGAGGGTCAAGGATTTATACAAGAAATGTCTTTTGACACAGCTTTTTTGGGCTCTGGTGTGGAGCAGTGCTAGCAGCAACAACCACAGTTCTCATCCCAGCTCCAGGCATAACAGGACAGTGTGGAATCCCACCTCAGAATTCAGAATTTTACGTGTTGCCTGGAACTGAAACGAAAGAACTGACTCTTGCTGTTGTTTGTTTCAAGCTCCTTTAACCCTTAATTATTATTATTTAGTAATATCAGTTTTAATTATTATTATTATAATCCTTAATTATTCCCTCTTATCTGTAAAATCATCTCTTCAGGCATGGATAAAACCTGCAGAGTTCTAAAGAAGCAGCTCACACCTCCCAAGGTTTATCTGGTCACTTTTAAGGTTTATCCCAGTTTATAACTGTAAAAAACAGGTGTCTTATAACTACATAGGATAATAGTAATAACTCTTCTGGCTGTTATTATTTTTGGGAGTTTGTAGGATTTTTCATGGATTAATAGTCACTAAATCTGTGACCTGTCTGGGCGCAGCAGGTTTGGGATGGACCGTGGAAGTTGTAAACCTCAGAAATTTGTTTGGGAGCCTTAATGCAATAATATGGATTCTGGCTTCATTTGTAGCCAGGAAAAATGTATTCTATAATCTCAATATATATCCTTAAAGTTCATTAGGGGTCGAAGAGTCAGAATGGCTTGGAATTTTCTCCTCCAGTTCCTAGAATTTGTTTCTCATGGTGGACGGAGATCGCTTTGAACTGGAATTATTCTTGGTCACAACAAGCGAGTTCTGCTTGTTCCCCCCATTGCAGAAGGGTAATTTTGTGAAAGAGAAGAAAAAAATGCTGCTTCTTTGAACCAAATCATCCCCAAATCCTACAATAATTTTATGGAGACAAGAAATAAAAAGGCTGTTTCTGCACTGACAGAAGGAGCCTGAAATCTTTGGCCTTGTCACCTCTCAGGTGGGATGGAAGTGTGGGGAGCAGGGAGCGAGTGAACCTGGCGCTTCTCTCCCGGCTTTTCCCTGCCTTGTGTCATTCCTGGAGGGGTTTGTGGTTCAACCATCCCACTCTTTGCTATCCTGAGGATCTTTGTGAAGCTCCTCCAGCCAGAGCCGCCGCTGTGATTTGAACACGACTGGAGAATTTATCAGCCCCCGCTGCATGGGCTGATAAAGCTGCTTTGGGATGACTATCAGCACATGTTTGGAACTGAATTAGTTTGGAGATAAGAGGTTTTGTAGCACCCTCTGCCATCGTGTCCTCAGCCGTTCCTGTAAAGATTATCCTTTAGAAAAATCACCCTCTGGAAATATTGCATTTTGCCGGGCTCGTTTTCCGTTCTGCCATCCTTGAATGTAAAATAGTGTCAACCTGTTTGCAGAGTGACTGAAAAACCACAAAACTAATTTGTCTTTGAATTATTCTGCATTAAATTCCAGGCTGTAATTGTTTAATTCAATCCTAAATTAAGCTACAAGGATCCTCTTCCAGCCTGTTCTTGTATAGTACACGTCAAGGTGATAAATCTTCCCACCTGGGTGGTCACTGGCCTTAAAAATCCACTGCCCTGTCTCCAAAATTATGCAAATTGCTTCAATCTTCCCCCTCTGAGTGGGATTTTCCCTTCCAAGCATCCCTTTGATGATGTTCCTTATCTCAGTGTCTGTTGATGATGCGCTGATGACGCGCATGAGGGTTTTCTGGACAAGCTCCAATGGCCTAAAATCCATCAAAAAAACTCCTTAGAAAGTCAGAGTTTTCAGAGTGACTGAACACCCACGAAACTAATTTGTCTGTGAATTATTCTGTATTAAATTCCAGACTGTAATTGTTTGACTCAATCCTAAATGAGGCTACAAGGACCCTCTTCCAGCCTATTCTTGTACAGTTCACATCGAGGTGATAAATCTTTCCAGTGGTCACTGCCAACACTGACCTTAAAACTCCACTGCCCTGTCTCCAAAATTATGCAAATTGCTTCAGTCTTCCCC